TGATCTATTTCCAAGTACAACTGGTTGAGCCTAACGGCCCCCAAAAAGGCCTTGAACCCAGTGTACTGCTCTGTTGAGTCCGGGTATTTGAGACTTGCCAACTTCATGCGAGTTAGTGACCGAGATAGCCATTGGAGTAGAATTGTATCCTCATCCTGTTGAAACAAATCTACGCTGTCCAAACTGGCTGGTCCTGTGATGTGACGTGATATCTGCTCTGCTGTGATCTCCGTCCGATATTGACATCCACTGACGAACAGAAACAACAAAGCAGGCTGGGACTGGATTATCTCGCACAGTTGCGAGATATCTTTGAAGCCGACCTTGACTAGATTCAGGGCCGTCAACGAGGTGAAATGGGACGTCGGAATGATGTTGACCAGCATGTCGCCCATCTGAAGCTCACGTAGCGTCATACTGGTCACCAAAGGCATACGCTCTTGACAGGCATAAGAAGAGATCAGAGAAAGGTCCCGAGATATGTTTTTTCGAGATGTTTTTTCAGAGATATGAATGGAGAGATTGTGGATCCTTGTGAGGGAGAAGGAAAAAAGGGGTGATTCGATGAGATTGACAAATTGGTTGAGGGTCCAATGGATGTGCCCGCCTCCGTTTGGATATACGGCCCTGCCATCTTCGTCATAACCTTGATATCTGCAAGATTTGACGGACTCGTTGTAGAGCTGTACGCCGCTAAACAAGTGAAGTCGGGCGGTAGGCAACCAAGCCCGGCATACCAGGCAGCAGGCTCGTAGTGCAACATGGTCGTCGTGGCAATGGTCAAGGATATTGTCCCATAGTTCTGGAGCGATGTGGGCCATGACGGTAGAAGTGGTGGAAGAAAATGACTCAGTGATCCACTGCCGATCGACCTTTGCAGAACCGACATACTTGACCCGATCGAGTCCCCCTAAATGGTCTCCTAATGTACCCAGTCTACCTTCAAGACGGACTTCAAAATTCACGACAATGGATCAGGCCCAGTGAGAAGTCCAGATATTGGGATAGATTATCACAGATTACTGTAGATTATAATTCAAATAATCGATGCCAACAGAAGTTTGGCCGAATAGCATCTCAGGAGAGATTATTGTCGATTATCCAAGGTTATCTGAGGTTAATTTTGAAATAATCGACAATAATCTATTAAAATGCTAGCTAATACACCCCATACCGTACGCATACTGTACTCGTATCCCAGCTACTCCCAAGTCCCAGGCGCCCCACATAATTGCCTGCCGTGCTTCCTCGTCGCCCTGTTGTCCTTAGGCGGTCATGGTGGTCACAGGTTGAACGCTGCAACAGAATTATGAGCAAAAAACTGCAACGATAAACGAGTAGACTTACGCAGAAAGGTATGGATGGGCAACGAGGAGGCTGAAGCTGTAAGACATTGTTAGATTGGAAATGAGAAAAGGAGCTGGCATCATACCTGAACTGCCCAGTCTTTGCTCTATTCCCTCATCGCGCTAGAGGAATCATTATAAGTAAAGCAACTCGAAAAGTCGAGTGCTACGTACCATCTGGCGACACGCCATGTAAATGGAACCGTGAATCCTATATGCATCAAGGACCTTTGGGCTAGAAATAGGTGGTGTCGTCAAGGTAGCAAAAAAAGAAGGCGAGGAGATGCATACCAAACAACGATGCACACCTCTACCAACAGGCTATCGGTCCGAAACATATCCATGGCTTGTATATATAAAGATTCATGAACCTGGATGCAGAGAATGTATATCAGGTCGAGAAAAACCAGAGAAAGCGAGAGAAGCAAACCTGGAGAGCAATGGAGAGCAATTTACATCGGTCCTCGAGAAGCTGCAGGGAAACCACAAAAGAATGAGCCAATGAGCCAGAATAGACGAAAATCAAGGAACCTGGGGCACTGGGACGGCACAGAAGGCTTCGAGGCCCTGGGCGAAGGAAATGATGGGGGTGGAAGGCAAGAAAGCGACTGTGAGACTTTTTGCTCGATGGGATCAAGTCCTGTCACAACCGGCAAGTCAGAGGCGACTTGACGAAAAAGAAAAAGAACAGGCATTTTCATGACACAATTATGACAGCCAGCCAGGCCAATGTCGCGCAACATGTATGAATTCTTGTTGAGTTGTGGTAGAAATAATCGAAAATAATCGGAGCAAATAGATTTAATCGGAGACAATCTACCCTAAATTCCGGACTTCTCACTGGGGATCAGGGTTCATTCAATCAATGGAAAATATCGCCGCAGGGTGTGACGGTGGCGTGACGGTGGCGTGACAGGACGTCGCGTCGCTGTGCACAAAAGAAATAGAGAAGAGCTAGATGCTTAGAGAGTCGACCAAAATGAACAGATATAACAGTGGATTTCAGTGAACTAAGGAATACAGAACAAAACTAGCTAGCTTAAGTACTGTATGAGTCAAGGCCATCGATCCCTTTCCTGTCTGAGCGAATAGCGAATACCGGATACTTGGTAATCGTCAACTCGAAGATCTCGGCAGCGCAGGTCGGAGCACGCGGACCGGGCGGGTTTTCACATGCCCGACGGTTTTGAACGGCATTCACCATTTTGAGCTCGCCGCCACCGCCCGCCTGTATCCCGCCTTGTAGCGCCTTGTTTGCATTAGACAATATACTTACCCTATAATCACTTGCAGATAAGAAGGGCGGGAGGAGAGCGGGATGGGACCAGATGTGGTGATCCGACAATCCCGATTACTGACCAATATGGCCGCTGATGTAAGTCCGAACTGCTCCGAGTTGACGATTACCAAGCTTTCGAGAAAAGAAAAATTGACGATTCCACATGCTTTTGAAAAACCGCTGTAAAAGAAATGAGATTCATTTTGGACTCACGTGCGCCTCGGATATGAAATGAATGGCTCAAGTATGTGGATATGGTCTCTATTTGTTCTGTCAGAGCTGATTATGGCCCCAGACCATCTTGTCATGATCCTGCAGCCGACCTTAAGGTCTAGTCCGGTGACCGACTCTCTATGAGGGGCAAGCCTCTCGATAGAGAGTCCGGTGTCACGGCAACTGCCGTGGGTGGTGGCCCTTGGCGTGATGACTATGAGTCATTGCTGGCGTATGGGAATTTCGTCATGACACGAATTGTATGACAACATGAGGTCAATTATCTTCGTTTGCTCGCTGGTCACTCGCTAGGCTGGTCATTCTCATTGTAATTCAACATTTAAACCTTAAAGATGTCAACTACAGCATTGACAACAAAACCGAGCACATTATATGAAGGACAGGCCTATTCTCTTCCGCGCTCACTCTGAAGCTGCCATGGTCAATAAATTGTTCCAGCATTATCTAGTGTCATTATCCAGCTGCAAAATATGTTTCACCCTACCAGAAGCCTGTATTCAGCGCCCGAGCATCGTTTTACAAGTCACAATGTCTCGCTGCGTCAATGAAATCTTGTCATGACAAGATTCCCATGGCCAGCGATGACTCATTGCTATCACGCCAAGCTCCATCACCCACGGCATTAGCCGTGATCCCAGCCTCTCTGACGAGAGGTTTGCCTCTTGCCGCGTCAGAGAGGCTGGTTACGAGCCTACTTAAGGTTAATCCTCATAAACTTGGAGGTCCACATCCATGTATTCTATCTAAGTCTTAGATGATGTAAAATATGTATTTGGTTTATCCTTCAACAAATCGAGTAGCGCCGCGTCGCCAACCATTTCGGCTGACCGGCCAGGTACCCACTCATTCCCCTTTTAGGTATGCTCAGTGGGAAAATATTTATCACGTCATCAAAACTGCTCGTAAACTCATCGGAGGGGGCGTAAATTGATGGTAAGACAGATGCGTTGGACTTCCATACCACCACAGGACCACCATTTAGATGTACCAGCCCACCTAAGGCCAAAGGTTCTTAGGTGGCCAGCTAACCAGTTACTTATAGTAGGACCGCAGGGTAAAGTGGAACAAAGTCCACAAACGGTAGGATTTAATTCATCAGCTTCTGACAGCTCCAAAGAGCTCCGACGACCTTTGTAAGTTCTTCCCTTTGCTTCCACTGCATAATATGCCAGCCGCCCGTGGGCCGATGTTTGATGGTTAAGGTCTACAAGGACCTGACTGGAAATGGATGGGCAAGACTGGGCCAAGAAGCATACTTCTCCAATTGATCATGCTAAGATTTTTTTGGCTTGTTTCCTCTTAACGGATGGCAGAAACTGAGTTAAAAATGTGATTAATTGCTTGTCGTGCAATTCCATATCAATACAAATTGATGAGGATCTTTCTGAACCATGGCTGGCAAGAGAAAGCAAAAAAGTAGGTCCAGCTATTTATTTTATGAGGGACAAAATGGATCAGGAGCTTTCGGGTCAGGCACCTGCTAACAAAAAACTGAACTCAAGGATTATTACAGCATTGATTGCTAGGTCCCATAGGTGGTAGTATCTTGTAGTAACCACAATGAAATGGTATCTGCTTTACAATACAGCACTAAATACAGTGCCAAGAACAGGGAGAGGGGGACTCATATCTGCCAACGGAACAGTTGGCCTCTATCCCATTGGTTGGATAATTTGCTGAGACCAGCTACTACAGGACATGTCTTCCAGCGCGCGCCGTCTCCTGTAAGGACTCAGTGTTTGTCATTTCGAACCTGGGTCCTATAGAGACGACTCAGAAACTGCAGGATCCACGACTGATACCACTGAAGATCGACGCTGCGCATGATGGGAAGTCCTCGCGGTTGCCAGATGAGTCATTCCTGAATTCGGCACATAATAATGTCACGGGAGATCTTCACCAACTGTTGAAACAACTTCTTTGCGAGCGGGATGGTAACCCAACCAACTTCATTCAATCGTAGATCAGGAAGATGGGTGACTTCGAAAGAGCCAAAACATAGCATACTCGATCTTCTGTTTGCCGTACAATATTTACAGGCTACTTATCTTTTCGAGTTTCGGAGCTTGCAGCCCAGTTGCAAGTAAAAGATCTTTCTCTCCCATGCTGACAAGGTCGTCGCTAAGAAAGCAGTGCCTTATGGCCGGTTAGCTCAGTTGGTTAGAGCGTGGTGCTAATATCCCTAGATATTGTTCGTAATACGCCAAGGTCAAGGGTTCGACCCCCTTACGGGCCATTTTTGGCTCCCCTGGCATCAAATTCGGCAGTGAAAACTCAGCCACATTTTCTCCCGTTCCGAGTTGTCCCCGAGCCTGCTGGTACTAATAGCTGCTCCCAAAGACATCAATCATACACTCTTCAGTCTATTCCGATCAAAGCCGGCGTTTCTCATCACAATTTTGTTAGTTTCTGACTCATTGTCCACTTGTACTAGATTACATGTTCTTTTCTAGTTAACATTCATGCATTCCTATCGCACTGGGATACTTATTCCTGCACTTCGACATAATTTGCTGCAAAGGATCACAATCAATCATCGATCCAAGCCAAAGACAACTCACCAGGGAATAATCCAACACGTCCTTCCGAATCCTGACCTTGCCACCAATCTTCCGATGCAGGTTCAATCTGTACGATCCGATCTCCCTCTCTGAACGATATCTCGTTGTCTTCAGCCGCGTCGTAGCTATGGAAAGAATGAGCATTGAAAGAGAAGATATGAAAAGGGGACGAGAACAAGGAGAACAAGCCGAACAAGGCCGCGAGATAGCCAGGCAAGCATGGGAAGGGTAGAGAAAGACGAGAAACAAGTGAACAAGTAAGGGGAAAGAGAGACAGAAGAACAAAGCCGCGAAATAGTCAAGCAAGCATCAGAGGAACAAGAAAGAAGTGAAAGAAAGATCGAGCTCCAGGGCAAGAAACGACAGAAACGCGAACGACGAACACAAATCCAATGACAAGCAGCATCATCGAGAGAAGAAGACAATCGCAAAGCGCCGTGAATGGACACCGTGTCAGTGAAGCAAGAACAATGTAAATGAACGACCAAAGCGAACCCGGTAAACAAAACCAGCCCTACGGAAAATGACGAAAGCAAAAGTTGAATTCGAAGACTTACTCGTATAAAGCAATGGCCGTAATTCCTTCCGAAACCTCAGGCGTAGGAGGTCTAGGCGGCGCTGGGGGTGCAGCAGCCACCGCAGGCTAAAAACAGAATCGGAATCAGCATGGATGAACATCAACGAGAACCAAGACAAAGAAGAAAGAAAGCCATGAAAGAAGACAGAAACGATGCTTACCGCAGGAGGCGGTGGTGGCGGAGGCGGAGGTGGCGGAGGTGGCGGTGGCGGTGCAGCAGCAATAGGTTCAGCTTCAACGACCGCTTCTTCGACGTATGTTTCTTCTTCTTCGACATGCTGTTCTTGTTCTTCAGCAGCACCTCCCTCAACAATCTCGACATAGTTTGCTGTAACAGATGAATTAGCATCGGGAGCGATGACTGAGAAACACCGAGAAGGATAAGAGTGAAGGTAAAAGCCAAGGACTTGAAGCAAACGAAAGAGAGCGAAACACCACCAGCGATCGTGCAAAAGGAGAACCGGGACTAGAGAAACAGAAGCAGAAGAAGACGAAGAAAGCAGGGCCACTGTCGGCCAAAGATCAGCCGCAACGGTGAAACAAAAGCTCGACGACACGAGGCGCAAAACCAAGGCAAGACGAAAGAAATGTTCGACGGTGACGAACAAGCCCAACCCAAAAAGGAAGTAAAAAGATCGCAAAAAAGCCACGTACACGGGAACAATCCAGTCTTGCCACCAGCTCCGACACCGCTCCACCAACCTTCGCCCATTTCCTCGATTTGCTCAATCATCTCGCCTTCAATGAGACTCATTTCGTTGTCTTCGGCGGCCTGTACGGATTGTTTAGCACGGAGAATTGTCAGACAAAGAGAAACGAAGAGGAAAAGAGAGTCGAAGACTCAGGGAAACGAGAGACGGGACAAGAGAAACAAGAAAGAAAGCAAAGACAAGCAAAGACAAAAGAGGTCGAGCAAAAGCGAAATCGTAGAATCGACGACCAAGCAAAGAAAGCCGAACCAAGGCAAAGAAAAGTAGACCGGACATACTTCATATTCATATAACACAACGGCGCAGATACCTTGAGGCGCTACAGCAAGAGCTTGCATCTAATAGCCATGAGCATCGAAAATCACAGCGTTGACAAAGAAACTGACCTCTCGGACCGGAGGAGCAGGGGGTGGTGGCGGGATAACAGCTTCTACCTGTGGAGCAACAGGAGCAGCAGGAGGTGGAGGTGGTGGAGGAGGTGGTGGTGGCGGCGGTGGTGCCTAAAAGAATAAAAAAAACCGAAAAAAAACCAGTCAAAAAGATTTTGCTCACCGAAACCGCAACATGCTCCTCCTCTTCCAGCTGCTCTTCTTCCTCTTCAGGTTCACCAACGACAGCAGAAACGACAGCAGCAGCAGCGCTCGAGACCGCAGAAGCAGCACTCGAAACCGTAGCAGCAGCAGCAGCTGGAACAGCCCCGAAATTACGAGGCGCAGATGTCGGTGGAGCAGCTCGTCCAAAAGCTGGAGCCTGGAAAGTCTTGGTTGGTGCAAGCTAAACCAAACCATTGATCAACAAAAACCTTCATCATCGGATTCCACGAACCTTGAAAGCAGCGTTCCGACTCGTCGCATCTTCTTCCTCAGCCTGTTTCTTCGCCAGCGCCTGTCTCTCGCTCCACGTCATCTTCCCTGACGCCGCAGCTGGCTTCCTCGGCTCAGGCTCCGGTTCCGCCTGTTCGAATTTCGCAAATGGATTCCTGAGCTTCTTGGGCGCTGGAAGCGACACTGGTGTATATGCTGTCCCGACTGGACCAATCCGGTCATCTTCAGCGGGTTTCGTTGGACTGGCTGGTTTGGTCGGACTTGCTGGTTTCACAACAGCCTGAAGACAAGCTTTAGACGATACCAAGGTCGACGAAAAGGAATGGCTCACAGCTGCAACGGGAACCGGCCTGGAAGCTGCAACTGGCACTGGTCTCGAAACCGATGGAAGCGGCGGCGGTGCCGGTGTCGCAGCAGGAGCTTCTTCAGGCCATGAATCGTCTGGAGCCGATCCAGTCACCACAGTCCTTCCGTAAAGCGAACCTGCGGGTTTCGCAGCTGCTGAACCGGAACTAAAAGCGGGTCTGGAAGATTGAGCTGGCACTGGTCTCGCTGCTGGTACTGCCGGAGGCTGTCGCAGCTGCGCAATATCGACTTTGCCTATCGGGGTGTAATTCGTCCCGACAGGTGTAATGGGTTCGTGTTTCCGAGGTGCTTCTTTTTGGGCAGAATATTTGGCGCCTGAAGCTGCTTCGACGCGCTTCATTATGAGAGCTGGAGATACGTCCGTCTGGTGAAAAGATTGATGAGCATTGTCGGAAAGGGATTAATGACAATGGCGAACCTCATTCCGAGCATTGAGGACAACGTGAGATCCGCGAAGGAAATTGGCGACGTGGCTAAAGAATGGATTTCGTTAGGTGAAGTCGAGATCTAGACAAGGTTTGGTCGTCCAAAGCCAAAACGAAGACATACCTTGAATGCGTATGAAGTAAACCCTTCTTGGATTCTGGAACACCGTCCCCGCACCAGTTGATTTGGACGAATTTGGCGAGACCGCTCTGTCAGCCAAATAGTCAGCCTTTGCAGAATGGACAATCACGGAAGGCGAAAAGCGACGGAAGACGAAGCAAAGGAAATGACAACAGACGACGACGGAAATGATAGGACGATATGGATATATGATGGATTGGCGGCGAGATCGCCAGGGATATCAAGATGGACAATGACAAGACGCGGGCTTACATTTGGATCTTTAACCCGGGCGAAAGCATATTGAATCCTGTAAATAGGCAATCAGCTCGGTGTTATCGAGGAGAGCACGAGAAAAGAGGTGGTGGTCAGCTCGTCGGAAGCGGACAAAAAGCACCGGCGAGCGAAAAGAAAAGCCGACCGCCGAGGGAAACGAAAAGCAGCACGCACCTCCCATCCATGAATTCCTCCTCCAGCTCCTCCAATCCTCCAGATCCCGTATTCTGCACCTTCAAATCATTCGTCCCTTTCTCATACGTAAATATCGCCCAATCGATGCCCTGGTCATTCAAGACATCCAAATACGCTTCCTTGAGGTCCTTGTTAGCGAGATTTATTTGGAGAGACATGGGATCGCCCCAGGTTATCGCAGAGCGCGGTGGTTATTCGGGCGAGCAAGATGGCTCGATGATATCGTCGAGGACAAGAACAAAATTGCGGAATCGAAATGACGTGCAAGACATCACATGTGCAATTCAGGCTCCGATTCCGATGCACAGCCACCGGTGTGACGGCAACCGGGTGCTCCCGGGTGGCTTGTTCTTTCTCACAGCTATGCTCTGCTGGTCGCGGTGGGGTCATCTCGAGTGTAAATCGAAGAGGTAAGAAGATCGTGCACCGAGCAGCGCCGGCGAATGAGCAAAGAGGATATAGACATCTAATACTGTTTATACCTGATGATGCTGCGAATCAGCCTTGCGATCGAAAAATGATGCCTTCAAGGCAAGGCAAAAATGGCCCGTAAGGGGGTCGAACCCTTGACCTTGGCGTTCCGACCATTGAAGCGATATTAGCACCACGCTCTAACCAACTGAGCTAACCGGCCGTATCACTCATGATTCAAGAGGCAGTGCTGAAGATAGTGCGCAAAGATTCCAGGCAAGAAATGGAGCTGTAGTGTAGCCTTCCCCTACAGCTGGTAAAGTCATCAGACTCAGCGAAGAACCCCATGAGACTGGCTAAGCGAGACAGTCAAGTCAGAGGTGACAGGCTTGAGTGCCATATTTTGAATTATTCCAAGGTATTTTTCGCTGTTGTCCAACCCAGGAAAATTAGTTAGTTACCAACGCGCCCACAAAGAACAGGTTTCGGTGTGGGTGAAGATCTCCCGTGGCGTTGCTCGCTGCGGGAATGACGCATTCAGTCACTGCCGTGATTGAATATGTACAGCCTCAATGTTGATCTTTCCGATCTCTGACATGCATCCTGTCACGTAGTATAATGTATGTATTGGTATAGGACTCAGAGAATCAGAGAATTCATGCTGCAAGCCGGGCTTCCTTATTCCCATGAGTCCACAACTATGATTGTATCGATCACCAATTATCACTCCATGGAACAATGAAGGTTTCCCGTGGCATTGGTCTGGATTCGGGAATGACTCATCTAGCGAACGACAACAGAATCTTACATCAGATTAACTATATCCATACAGAGTCAGTCTTTAGCTCAAACCGTGTCTATCGTGATTCCAATCAGTCGTAAGTTATTGTCTCTATGGGACGGCAAGACCACCACTAACATGAGACAGCGGGCCGCCCTACTTGAACTCCAGTGCTATATTAACAGCTCGGCTGTAGAGTTTGAGTACAAGCAGATGAATGCACAGAAGGTCCGGAGGAAGATGAGTTATACATTGCAATTGGGCAGGAGTCATGTAAAATCTACCAACATCTCTGGCCCCCTTATTCGTGTTGCAGAACTGACCGATGGATGTATCGCAATAAGAATCATCCCGCTTTATGCCAGGTATTGTCATGAACAGAATGGACAGTGTGACATCTGGAAAGTATGGATGCTGCGCATGCTATGATTCTCTATCTCTACTTGAGATATAAAAACCTTGAGATGGGACTCTGGATCCTCAGCTGGTCTCACTCACTCATCCAATCTCTCGATACTTTCAGACATGGTCAACATCATCACTATCTATTCCTTGGCTCTATTGATAGTCTCAACGGTTGCAGTGCCTGTGTATGTCTACTTATATTCATCTTTTATATCGTGCCTTACATGCAATTGAGTGCGGAGAAGGTGTTCAAAGTTGCTCGGGGTGATATTAATATATTCAGACATAAGACGAGAATATTCAGCTTTCAGTATGTCCCCTATTCCCCTCTTTTTATCTTGAACTCAAAGGCAATTCAGCAAGCCCACCCCGACCGCCAACAAAGTCATTGCTCGGGATGATGTTCAACTTGAGGCGCGCTATGGAATCAAGCCCCCGACTCGACTCAGCTTTCAGTATGTCTCCCTATTCCCCTCTTTTGTCTCTTGAACTCAAAAGCAATTCAGACTGCCCACCCCGACCTCTACGTCCAAGCCCAGGCCAACAAGCCCCCGCATCCCGCCCAGTTATGGTCCCCACGGACGCACGGGCCAACAAAGACACTGGGTCCGAGTGTCGGGCTCACCGTAAATCCCACCCATCACCCATCCACCAGTGGTGGATCAGGAAGAAAGACCAAATAATCTGGAATTGAGAGTAGTTGAATGGGAACTTCGTATCTATTGATCATTTAGCGCCATCTAAGCGCCCACGACCTATGATATGCCGGGCTATTTCGGATCAACACGGAGAAAATGAACAGTCGCTTTGTGCAATGCTGTGGGCAACCAAAGGTCTGTGCTCGACAGCTTGAATTGATGGCTCTCCATCTTTCCCTCCTACCACCATGCCCTTCAAAATTGTACACCTGCTGAAGCGGAAAACAAAGGCTACTCCTCTCAATGCTGATTCTCTTGTCTCTAGGAGCCAAGACAACAGATCTGAGACACCTGTTACAGCAGCTGTCATTCAGAGTTTACAGGGCGCAACAATTGGTATGTTGCTCTCCTCTTTCTGTGTTCATACACAGCTGAATAATTTGATATTGAGGGAATGTAAATGGATCATTGTTTTCAAATAATCACATTACCACAGTGAACCACAACCATTATCCACATAAAATTGATGACAAGGATAATGAAAATGTGAGGCCTCCAAATGTTGAAACAATTGTTCATTGATTTCAATCTTGCTTCAGTATCATGTACTTGAAGCTGCGGATTTGATACTTGAATCTCAGACAATGTCTCATGACATATCTCATGATCTGCAACCGGATGGGACACTGCAACAGACGGGTAGAATCACAGATTATACAGGCCGGGTGGTCAATCAACCCACTGCCAGATTTCTGATCCGCCAATATGAAGGGATGAATATTCCAGTGAGACACTTTATTGCTCTTTTCAAAATAGATAAGAATCCCTAAAAATAAAAAAGTTGCTTTTTTGTTGCCGTGGGAGCTAAGTGGCTGTGCCAGGTCACACTTTCTGACAAAGAAAGTGGCCGTATCGGCCGTTTTACTCTTCGTCTCAAGTGCCCCCTGCATTTCCCTGGCACCATGTCTGACGACCCAGAGCAGATAGAAGATGCTGTATGGGGTGACTGTGAGTCCCTATTTTGCTAGCCAGAATCCCTTTTCTGACCTCCTCAAGGGGGCCGCAGCATGTACAACAACAACGACGGCATCAGAATAACATTCACTTTTTTCCATCTACCATTACCTGGGGTCAAGCTGCGTGCTAATGGGAGACCTCCTTGCATCAATAAAGTCTTTGCCATTCATGAGGATTATTCTTTCCGTGATTTTCTTACTACCTGCTGTGGAAGCGTCGACCGAATGGACCTTTTGGAATTTTCGCAGCTTTATAATGGCAGTCCAGATCCAGCAGTCAACAGCTTCACTATTCTGTATGACATCCAAGGAACCAGTACCAAAGACATTTCTCTCGCTGACAGACGTGACTTTACGACCATGGTGGAAGCAGTCAAGAGACGACCCAAGCCAGCACTAAATGTCTATCTGACAGAGCTTCAGGTATGGTGTAGCTATTCTCAGCATCCTTTCGCTCATGTACATATTTTAGCTTCCTGAGGAAGAAGACGAACCTCAAGATGAACCAGACGACAATTTGGATGACAAACAGCCTGTCAACAATGATGATCAACCTGGTGGTGGAGACCCATCTGATGAAGAAGAGATAAATGTCAGAGCCAGCAAACGACAGAAAGGGAAAAAGGTATGGTTTTGTTCATCATGTTTGGACTGTCTACATTCCTTTCAGAATCCTGTCTCGGAGGAAGAAGAAGATCAATATGAGAAGGTCATCCAGCTGCAAGCTGCTACAAAATGCAATGACTCCCAATGCGACAATTATACAAACCACTGCATACCAATCGGTCCTAATGCCGACCATCTACCTCTCCTTCCAAAGCATTTCCGTGTATGGTCATCAGCCTGGTCATCAGGTATAGATGGAGTCGATGAACATAACCCTCCGAACAATCGCATCTTTGATCTCAGCCAGCAAACAACCTCCGATACAACCGACATCAATCTTCTTGCCAGTCGACGTGTTCAACAAATCCGCCAGACAACCAGCAATGGCTCGGTCAATATCAGTCTCACTGGATTAGCTGAAGCCTTCATTGAAATGCGCAAGTCCGCATCTCCAGAAGCTTTCACAATTCCATCGCCTATCCTCCACAATTCCCCAATTCCACCGCCATTGCCACCGAAGATGACATTGCATGATTTCATTGTCGCCCATGACTTATCCCCCATAATTCATCAAAAACTGGACGACCTGGACATTTCTGGTCCCCATACCCTTCGATTGATGGACAATGCAGACTTATTAGCTGGAGGCTTATCCAAGGGACAGATTGCAACCATTCATGATGCAGAAGAGCGCTATCGACACATTTCTTAGCTTATTGTGCTGTCTGTCATTCATTCCAGTTTTATTTGCTTCTCTTGACATTACTTTCCGTCGATACAGTCCTTTGTCTAAATGTAGCCTGAATGTCTAAAGAAACCCCAGGTCATCTCAGGCGTAATTATCTCTGCTGCACAATAGAGCTCATAGTAGGGTTGGTGGGAGCCATAGCGGTAGATCCCTGTTCTCCAGAGGTAGCTTTTGATAGCAGAGAATGATTGTTCAATAGGGTTGTAATCCAGAGAATAGGGCAGCAAAAATTCCACTCGGCATCCTAAGACTTTATAAGGCACGAAATGAACATATAACAAAGACTCACCAAAACTAGCAACTAGGTCTAATACCTCTTGGTTTTTGTGAATCCTTGCATTATCCATCACGATGACGCTTCGTGGTCCAGGGAAAGGTGTGGTAAACGGAAGCTAGAGAGACAGATTTTATCAGAGCAACAAATTTGACTATGGTCGGTCACATACCACGTCTTGCCTTAGAAAGGACAAGAAGGTTTCCCTGGTATAAGACCCTTCGACAACTCTGACAGCAGCTAAACCATGATCCAAAGCCAAGCCTGCCACCAAAGAAAACCTTCGCTTGCGAACAAACGGTGCATGCAACTCTACTCGTCTACCCACCTTGCTTCTTCCCCACAACCTAGCATAAACTCTGTCGTCTTTGGATGTTTCATCAAGACAAAACAGCTGTGCTGCGGAATATTGACCCATTCGATATATGAAAGCGGCTCGTTTCTGAGGTGAGCGCTCAATTGCCATCTTTTGAACCCTTTTGACACTGAGACCAGCACGCTCAAAGGTGCGATGCAATGTTGACAATGAGACCGATATAGTGCGCTTCTGGATCAAGAGTTTGCAATATTCGTCCAGAAACGGAGTAGGTCGATATCGGGCAAGACGGAGAAGAAACTGAACATCTTGATTTACAAGAAGACGAGGTCGACCAGCTGGAAGAGGATTCAGCTTCTTTACAGAGCCAGTCCTTCTGAAGCGACGAAAAACCAGGTAGAGATGAGAAAATGAGATTCCAGTGAGGTTGGAGATTTCT